AGAACTCCTCTTTAAACATGTGAGAGCACGTTGGTGATTGGTGATGTACACTGAAAATGTTTAGATGAACTGAAATATAATTCATGATGGAGTGAAAAATAACCACCACCTAACCTAAAGAGTTCTTTCCTACTATATCTCTATTAAACGACAAGCACAGAACACAAAACAAATTAAAAAAAGAAAAGAAAAAAGAAGAAGCAAGAGACCTGAACTACTGACATTGGCATGACTAGCTAGAAAGAAGAGCTAGCTCTGTTATCTTTTTACAGCTTGCGCAAGTATTCAATTGGACTGAGTGAAGACATGATCTGTACTACTGTACCATAGTATAATTAAAAAGCCAATAAATATATATATATGTGTATTACTATTATTATGTACTGCATGTAGATACGCTAGGTAGAAAGTGGCATGTAGAAATTGAAAAAGGCTTTTTCATGGTGCCTTTGAAACAGATTAAGTTGTTGTACCGTTGTAGCATCCTGGCTGGCCTTGCTTCTGAATCACTTTTCATTAAGCAGAATATTACTGTACCCGCACACGTGTTGTTTGTGGGACTGAACCAGTGAAAATTAAGTGGAATCTTTTCTAGAGAGCAGATCTAATTAATATTTTTCAATGTAAATTGATATCTTTCCAGCTATAGGCACACTGTCTTTGGTTACCCTTGTTAATTTATTTGATTATTTGATGAACAATTTATGTCAATGGTGTTCTCTCTTTCGGTTGTTTTTAATGCTTCTTTCTCTTGTCTTGTCTTGGCTTTATTATATCTTCATGACGCTTGCTTTTAAATCATGATGACATTCTTTTTGTCTAATTTCAACGAAGAAAGTATAGAAGCAGATAAATAAGAACCGAAGATAGAAAGATAGAAAGAACATAGGTTGTGGCAAGTGCAATGCCCATGGTTTAATCTGTGTTTTATGAATTGGTATCTGTCACCCTGCAAGTGCCAGTAAGTATGAGGCATTGCTTTAAATGGTCACTGTTCCGCAGGCATGTGGGGTGTGTAAAGATTGTTTGCACGTGTCTATAAATGCACAAAATTTATTATAATTGTAGAGGGGTGTTAAAATGAGTTGAGGCTGATATGCCGGTTCAAATTATTCAATGAAATGTGTAAATTGGACTAATGAAATTAAAGAAAAAATATTTTAACTTCACTTGACCGAACTCGAAGTGAACCAGCTTATGAATTAGAAAAATGTCAAAGATATTACAATTATTATGTTTACTTACATATCTTTAAAGCAAAAATGTATTTATTTGATGTAATCATTATTTTAATATTTTAATAAAAAATAATCATATAATTTATATAAAATTAATATTTTAAAATTCTAATACATAAATAAATAAATGAAATGTGGGTTAGTATTTTACTCATTTTCTAGAGTACAAGGGTTATTACTAGGGTAAACTATGATATAATGTAACATCACTTATCTGCATATTTGACAACATAGTCATTAGTCAACTAGTATTTCAACCTTTGTGACCGCGATGCATAGAATTTATTAATGAGTTATATAATTTACATCATATTTAGTCGTTATATATATAATCAAGGTTTGCTCAATCGTAGAAAATTAACGATAACTAGAATAATATATTTCTTTTTGTAAGTGATCAGTCCAATGATATTGGGCTGAGTCTGATTACACACAGTTGAAGATGAAGGATGGTGACAAAGTAACTTGCCGAGATGTTGTGTTCTCTAGCGAGATGGTTGATCTGTAAGTTGAGTATCTGAGCAGTTTGGAAGAGACTAGGGGTAGTACTCTGATCTCAAGTCAGTTCAATATTCAATATGGTTCACGTATTCAAAGAGAGATATCATACTTGAGTTGAATGCTTCTGTATTTATAGTGCCTATATACCTTGCATCATACCGCCTTTCATAGGGTAGTGTTCATGTTCATCAGTGAAAAAAGATGGCCTTTCACAAGCTATTTCTTGGTCAAGAAGCCTAGTTTTGGGCTAGTTTCAATAGATGTGGTGGTAAGCTGGAACTGCATTCATTCATTGTGTTCATGTAGCGGTCTAATTGCCTGAGCTGCTGATCTCACTATAATGGAGTCTTAACCGCTAAGTTACTCTTCGATTGATGGCCAAATAGGCTAGATGCTCACATTTTGGACGCGTTTGTGGTTTCTTCATGATTAAGTCTAGCATTCAGTGGATCTTTATTGGATTGGGCTTTTATTTCACACATGTTATATCCAGATCAGTAAGAACAATTTTAAAATTTTTAGTATAGAAAAAATAATTTGAATGAGGAGAAGAATGTTTTTTCAAAAAGTATATATATTAGGGAGAATTGTGTGATTAGAACCCTGTTATCCTACTATACCATGTTGATTATCTTTTGAAAGTGAAACGTGCCTTTCTACTCACTATTGTTTGGGCTGATCTCGTCCTTCGTACCACTGCAGGGGCCCAACTTATACCAAGAAAAGTATCACAACTTCAAGCGCAGCCGTTAACCCAAATGACTCATTATATATAGAAAATAAATATGTTTTTAGTTTCTCTAAATATAATATTTTTTTTATTTTTAGTTCATCTTTATTTTGCATTTAATTTTTTTTCTCTCATTATTTAAAAAATGACTAATTTGATCTCGGTCATTGACTTGTTTTTGTTGAATGTCACGTCATTAATATCATGTTAGGAAGTGATGAGGAAGCTTTGTTTTTAATTTTTTTAACATTTTTTTCTTCACTATACATGGGAATTTCTTGTTACTTGGAGGAATGTGTTGAAAGATGGTGGCCAGTGGCCAGTGGCCACTCTTTATAGAGAGAAACGAGTTCCATTTTTTTTTTTTTTTGATAACAAAACGAGTTCCATTTTGATAAGGTAGAAGACTGACAAATAGCACTCGAAAGGTTTAATTTTTTTTTTAATGAGTGTGTAGTTGAATCATGACAGATAGCTTGACTGCTGACAATTGAAATATTGGGCCAGCAATGTGACCTTTGTGGGCCAAGACCCATATTCACAATGACATTTTGAACGAGAGAGAAAAAGAGCTCTCTATTCATAGTATCCACGAGGGACCCAATTTTTCTGGTCCATAGACGAAGACAGCTTTCTTCTAGAAAAGTTAAATTGAGATTTTTCGAGTTGCTTACCGATGAGATAAAGAATAGGACAAGGGCATCTCGTCTACGAATAAATCTTTGGTACTACTGCTCTATCAAAGATTCAGTGCATCTCACTAATGATAATATTACATGTCAGATAAATTATTATTTTTTCTGTCTAATTTTTTTTCTCTCCTCTAATGTGTAATGCTCTCATTGTTAAGATGCACTGAATCTAAGTACAACAGTAGTACCAAATATTTATTCTTTCTCTACATGGAAAATGAACATCCACCATATTATTATTAAGCAAAATATTCGTGCCCGAGAGAGTCAGAGAAAAGAAAGACACTGAGAATAGAGTAAATTTTCTTTTTCCAAATTAACATCCTCTAATGCACGTGTCACTAGATGACCATGTTAACTTACCAAAACTTCTGTAAACAAAAACTAACTCAACCTAAGAGTTAACTTAAGAAATTATTATTTTAAAGCTCCGTGTTGAATTTAAAGAACTTTTAGGGACTTGTTATTGGGATTTATGAATTTAAGACAAATCTAAAATAAGTGAGATCTTTTAGTAACCAAAATGGTGTTTCACTCTTCAAAACTCTATTATAAGAATAAGAGTGACAATCAAATTTAAAATCATCTATTTATAAAAAAATTAATTATATTAGAAATTTAATATCCCAAAAATTTTCTTTCCTATCTATCCAAAAATAAAAAAAAATCCCAAAAAATTTAAAAACCTTAATCCAACTTATTTAGTAAATAAGCTTAATCATTTAATAAATAAACGTACGTCAAGTATAATGTAAGTGAAATCGTAGCTCCCGACACATTGCGTAGCCTGTTTTCACCTCACGTCCAGAGGTATCTATCAACGCGACTTCAAAACTAGAAAAAAGAAAGCAAATTATTTGCTGAACTAGAATGATAGTATGTGATGATTAAAAACAATATCTCCTTTTTTGCTGTTGTAGTGTGTGTTTCCTTTTACGAAAAGAAAAGCTGACCACGAAAGAAAGAACAGTTATTAGCTCTTAGCGAACAAAACAATCGACACCATGATGAACACATGCATACAGTCCCATGACTCTGGATGGTGAGGATGTTAAACAATCGACACCATGATATGAACACATGCATGCAGTCCCATGACTCGCATCAGGCTAAATACTAGAAATGTAAAATTTAGGTCAATTAAGTAAATGCAAAGAGCATATTATTATTTTTTCCTGACAAGAATGGAAAAAAGCACAGCCAAATCCAAATAGGTTTTAAGAAGAGTCTTATAATAATTTTTTTTTATAACGAAGAAAAAAGTTGAAAGTCAAAAACTATTAGAAGGAACTTTTTTTTTTTAAATCAGTTTTTTCTTAAATTGTATGTTTTTTTTTTTTTAATAAAGAGCCATAGAAACACAGAGAGAGATTTTTTTTCTTGAAATATATATTTTTAAATAATTTTTACACTAAAATTTTTATATAATCACAAAATGCCCGACATAATGTAAGTATAGGGATTATTAAAAGGCTAATAATTTATTGCTTTTAAAGCCAGCATCCAAAGAGGAGTGAAAGGAATCATATATTCATCTGTCATGATGGCATAGATAAATTGCCAGCTTCTTCACATCTATTAAATGTTAATCACTTTTAATTTTTGTTAATGTCAATAATTATGCATATGATGATGAGCCTATTGGCGGAGGCACCCAAAGCCGAGGCAGGCGAAGTAATCAACCTATAAAAGTACAAACCGGATATCTTGAATTCATTGGTGATTCCTCAACAAAACCCCCCAAAAAACTCAAAGTATCCTCCAGTTGGATAAAAAGCACATATTTTAGACATTTCTCTTTCAGTTATTTAATGCTTCTCTCAGCCTTTCTTGGCTATTTTCATGTCTTTTGTATCTGACTCACACTACCAACGTCTCGTTTCCAACGCCGTTTATTAATTTTTCTCTCTCTCTCTCTGACTCTGTGTGTTTCTGCGAAGCGCTAAAGGACAACAATCACAAAACCTTAGAAGAACAACATTTGATGGCAGCGACAACTACAACAACTTTCCTCAAAGTTCAAAATCAACCCACGAAGCCCAAACGTCGCAAGTATCGTGAAACCACTATCTCAGCTTCTGCCTCTCCCAGCGAAACCCACCACCCCCACCCTCACCGCAATCTCGATTCCCCTTTATGCCCGACCCGAAACCCCGAACCAGAACCCGACCCACCATTGCCCGATTCACCATCGTCCTACAGGATTCGTTTCTCGCCCGGCAGGTTTTCCCCAATCATGGACTTCACCCGCTCTTCGCCCACTGCCACCGTTAACGGGTATTCGGGTCAGGACCCGTTTCCTTCGAGCTTCTCCAAATTCAACTCCGCACTCACCGCGGGGCTCCTTAACCCAATGTCGCCGCCACCCGACAAGACCCGATCGAGCCCAACCCTCTCCGAAATGATGGCTTGCGAACCCGATAGAGCAACCCAGATCCCACCCAACAACTACTACAACAACATCGCCACATCGTCGTCGATGCAGAAACCCCAGATTCCGGTGCCTGATCGGCAAACCCTGATGATGCAGCGAATATCGGAGTTGTTGGCTTCTCGCAGCCCCGGCAACCAGTTCAACGACGCCGTTTCAAGTGATATCAAGCTCACTCTCAGCTCCAAAGATGGAATCAGCGTCTCCATGAATGTGCATCGCCAAATTCTCGTTGCCCACAGCAGGTTCTTCGCGGTGAAGCTATCTGATCGGTGGACGAAGCAGCAGCAGCGGTCGACGTCGCCGTACGTTGTTGAAATTGCTGATTGCGATGACGTTGAGGTTTACATCGAGACGTTGAGGTTGATGTACTGTAAGGATCTTAGGAAGAAGCTCATGAAAGAAGATGTCTCAAGAGTTTTGGGTATCTTGAAGGTAATGCCTTTTTTGTGATTGTTTTGTTTTGTTTTGGGGGTTTGTTATTTTTGTTGTTTATGGATTAATATTTGCTCTGTTTTATTGTCTGGATAATATAAAACTGTAGGATTAGGTTGAGACTATAGCAAGTTTGAATTTTGGGATGTCAACTGTTTTATGGACACTTATAGGATAGAAATGCTATTGTTTAGGTAATTGAATTTTAATTGCTTCATGTGTACCGGTAAAAGCCATTTCTCACTTTGTTGTTTTTGTTTTGTCCTTGTTTGAATTTTGCCTGCTTCATGGTTTCATGAGACTGAACAAGATTGCTGGTTTTTGTGTTGTTGTCCTAGGTTTCAGCTGCAATTGGATTTGATGCTGGGGTTTTGTCTTGTTTGGAGTACTTGGAAGCGGCCCCGTGGGCCGAGGATGAAGAAGAGAAGGTGGCCTCTCTCTTGTCCGAGCTTCGTCTTGAAGCTGTTGGAGCTGGGGAAGTATTGAAGAGGGTTTCGACTGATGTTGCCAATGGGAATGAAGAGGGGAATGACAATGAGGAAGTTATAGTTAAACTTATTCGTGTGGTTCTTGAAGGAAAAGATGAGAAGGCCAGGCGTGAGATGAAAGGGTTAGTGTCTAAGATGCTTCGTGAAAATTCTTCTCAGAATGATCTTCGGAAGGAGTCGATATACTCAGCATGTGATGATTGTCTGCAGTTACTTCATCACCACTTTTTGCTGGCTGCAGCTTCGGACTTGCAGGATGTGAGTCAAATTGCGAGACAAGCAGATAATTTATATTGGATTTTGGATATTTTAATCGATAGACAGATTGCTGAGGATTTCCTGAAAACATGGGCATCTCAGTCAGAATTATCTGAAGTACATTCAAAAGTGCCTGCAGTTCACAGGTTTGAGGTTAGCACAGTTACAGCTAGGTTGTTTGTTGGGATTGGGAAGGGACAATTATTGGCTTCTAAAGATGTCAGGTGTTTACTTCTAAAAACATGGCTGGTGCCCTTTTATGGTGACTTTGGTTGGATGAGGAGGGCATCCAAAGGCCTTGATAGGCACCTGATTGAGGATGGTCTTAGTAACACAATTCTCACTCTGCCACTCTCCTGGCAACAGGAAATTTTGCTTGCTTGGTTTAATCGTTTCTTGAATTCCGGTGAAGATTGCCCAAATATTCAAAGAGGGTTTGAAGTTTGGTGGAGAAGGGCTTTCTGGAAGAGGAATGGAGAGCAAGAACAGACAAGACAACTACGAATTACAACTGCATCAATTGAGAACCCTTGAACACAGATAGTGCCAGTGTGGAGGAATTGGCAGCACTTGACTGGGTGTGTGTCACCTTTTTACATTCTCATGATCATCTATATTTGATTCCTCTAAGTTATCAGCATTCGAATCCTCTTTCAAACCCTGGTAGTTTACCTGCAAAGTTGCTTGTGTGAAACGTGTTAGTTAGACTCAATGTCTTCATGCTTTGCCTGGAAGTAGATAACACTGTTTATTCTCAGCTCCTCTTTTGTTGAAAATAACCAGATGGAATATTGGTTTTATAGTTTGACTGGGTACTTGGAACCATTTTTCTTTTCTCACTTCATATCTGTTCTATGTTTTACACCTAGGCTGCTTATAATTTTGCTCGCTCTCGTCAGTTGAATGGTGCCACTCTCGAAGTAAGAGCAGATAAAAACGGTTATCAGAAACCTAAGACAAATCAATCTGCTATTTTACCAATGAGATTGCTCCATCTTCCTCAAGCACGCAGGGGCAAGACAACTTGAGCTTCTTTTGTAACTTGTTAGGTTCCAAAATATTTCTGAGGGAAATTTTGATTTGTTAGAGTGAAACTAAAATGTTATAAATAAAATTCAATTGGTTGTCTAAGCACTGAACTTTCTTGTAATACTTGGTGGCAAGTGGTCATAGCATCTATATAGTATTTCTATTTTCTAATGCCAGGATACTGTATAAGTATTTTTAACTTGTCAGTGACTCTAAGGAAAACCACCTATCTTTTGTGGGCGGCTCTGTAATGATTTTAGGTGTTTGATTTCTGCTCTGTGAAGTTAAACCACGTCATATGTGTGCTTTTGATTGGAATTTCTTAACTCCTAAATACTATTGAGCATATATTGTCAGGGCCTGCTAGATAAATGTATTCCAAAGAAAATGTCCCTTTTTTTCCAGGTAGATGTATTCGTTGCTGCAAAACTAAAATTTGTTTTAGCAAAATATATTTTCCAGGGAAATAGTTCAATCTTAGTGCTATCTTCTTTTTGTAGTTTTATTGATGAAATTTGAGTTTCTGATCGTTAGGTACAAGCTCCTGAACAAGAGGTCATGGTAAATGTTGGCCTTCAATGATCGAGTTACTAAGATTATATATATTTAACAAGTGCAGCAGCTCGTTGCAGGCTAAGTTGATCAATTGAGTTCATGGAAGGTTCATCATGAGGATAATTTCTTTTATATTAGAGCATCGTATAGCTTTGGATGCAAGGCAGATGACGACGACGAATTTCCTCAAATATCTTTCCTTGCAAATTAATTAATGTTGATTATTGATTTTTGTGTTATTTAGGAATGACTTCAACGGAGGTTTAGGTGCGGGAATATAATTTATTTCTTTACTGAGGATCATGGATTCCTTTTTCTTTCTTTTTTCCCAACAAAAGTTTGAGAGATCCGAAACAACATTATGGGGTTTTGTATCTTGCTTTAAATAAGGAACCGGACTGTGGGACATTTGGAATGAATATTTACTGTCCTAGTTTACTTCTGAAGCCATGGCACTCAATTATTCATTCTTTTCACCAAAGACAAAATAAACACCCATTCCAATTAATCGAGAAGATGTATGAAAACAGCTTTTGCATATTTGGAGTTTCCATCAATACTAGTCAAACGACAATGTAACAAATTAACAAGTTAACGCCCCTTACAAAGGGGAATCGAAAAGGGAAAGATGCCAATGTCGCAATGTCTGAATTTATTGTTATATGATTAAACTGATAACAGTCGTATTTGTTAAAACCACGTGGGTGGGTGGGTGTAATGGTTCAGCATTTCGTCCCTTAATCAAGTGGTTGGGGGTTCGAACTCCAACTCTTGTGAATGAAAAACATTCCGTGATCAGTTTTTTACAGCTTTGTGCACTGATCCGGAGCGAGGGATTAGTTTGAGTAAAGAGGCCACTGATGATGACTAGGTTGAAACTTAATATTAAAATCAGCATTGAAGTACATATTCAGGCTTAAGTGATGAACTTTCGAACACTTTACTCTCCTTCTTGATACCCTTTTGTTTAAAAATAAATAAAATAAAATAAAAATAAATAAATAAAAATAAATTTTTGAAAAATTAGTACGAGAAACAGAAATGCTAAGATTTACAAACTGCATGGAACAAGATGAAAAAGTGAGGGGGAAAAAAGACAGAGGACAAAACGAAAAGGAAAAATGTTGGGATGTCTTACATTTAGTAAATAAAACAAATTTGATGTGAGAAGTTTTAAGGTTACTGTTGCCTTGCTAACAGTTGTGCAAGTAATGCGCGCAAGTATACGCGACAACAAGTAATATAGGGCTGTTATAAGTCCCAGTTATCGTTCCCACAAGGATCGTTGGCGTTTTGAAATGACTAAAATTTGTAATTGCTTAAAACTGAGTTACTATTTGAAAATAGAAGAATTAAAATTGTAAAGTAAAAAAAATATTCTAAAATGGACCTAAAACACTACTGTTCACTTTTCTTTTAAAATTTTCTGAATTACTTTCCTAAGTTATAAAATACGAATGAAGAATGAAGCAACTTAAATGAAAGATGTGACAAAGATTTTGAAATCAGAATAGAGATGGAAATATGAAATAACAAAGGAAATTGGAAAATCTGAATTGATAAAGAGGTTTAAAAAGGTGGGTTGAGTTCTGGCTCTCCTTCCCCACAGCGCTTGAAAAATAATTTGATTAACAAAAAGCTCATCCTAAGATTCTTAGTTAACAGAACTGTATTGTTAATTTTTAATCTCTTAAAAATTATTTTAGCCCAAAGTTGCCCACTTCCATATCTCTATGCCAAGTGGGATTAGGACTCTTGAGACTCAGGTCCATTATTACATGAGGACTCATTCATTTCTGAATTGAGATCCCTTATATGATTTCTCATCTAAGTCCATGTGTCTAATGCAGAATCCAGAATTAGTTGTTTCTCAACAACTAAATCCTAACCAAACCTCTGACATTTGGCCAAAATGCAGATAATTTTAAACATAAAAAAAAAACATTAAACAACTGAGATATAAAAATTAAAACCAGGAAATCAAATAATATTTGACAAGCACTGAGGTTTGGGTATCACTTAAACCCAACCTCTAAAAAGTTAGCCACTATCCATATGAATGAGGCTTACAAACAGTAACAGAGAACTACAGAAATCACAAAATAAAAATTCTAAAAACTACAATTACAGCACTGGCCTAACAACCGGCAATCTCAGTGCTGTAAAGACATGCATCAAGTTCATCAAATGAACCAGAATCTCATTACAAAACAGAACTTAAAATAAAATAAAAATTGTTCAGAAAACAAAAACTAAGAAACGGTAAATCAGAACCAGAAGAGAGCAGCCTCATGACTCACTCTTATTTCCCTTTTTATAGGGCTCTTTGCACACTATCCTCTTTTTCTCCAGCTCAGCAATATGACGCGCTGCTTGTGAGCTGCAAATGAGTGGTCCCCACAGTGCTCCACTCCTCTGCTCTTACAAATCGGATGGAATTGTCGTTCCTTCAACCCGTACACTGACGTGTGCTCACAATCGCTCCAGCATCCACTAAGTAACGGATCTTTGTTTGGCTTTTTCTGAATCCAAAAATAGTGGCTAGGGTTTTCGTGATTTCTTTTTCTTCATGGACTGTGGGTATGGGTCAATTTGGACAGATGAACCGTGGACAAAGGATATTCTGACCTTCTGGATCGATTTGGGGCAGGGATTAGGGATGGATGAAGTGGATTCTGATTGCACGATGTGGGTTCGCTAGGGTTTGCGTTTTCTTTTCTTTTCTTCACGTTTCTGCTACAGACTTCTCTTTCTTTCCTTTTTTCCTTTTCTTGCTTTCTTTCTTCCTTTCCTTTTTGGGCTTTAGTATTTTAGGTCTGGCCCATCACTTCCCTATATATTTTTTTTCTCATGCTGACTTCTTTTCTTTCCGCTAATGGGTATTTCTGATGCAAAAGGAAAATGGGCCTGAAAAATGGAATGTTACAGCCCATTAGCACTTTAATCAATAAATTCAACTCAGTGTAAATTTGGGGCTTTTACTAACATAAAAAGTATTCTTTTATTTCCATTTGCACATTAAAACCATATGTTTCAAGTCTCATTTCAGAGACTTATCAGTTACCTTACACGATAAGATAGTCTTTTTGGTTTACACTCGTTGTAGGATTCGATAATAATAAATGTATGCATAATCATATGCATGGGAAGAACTAAGAAGGATGATGAGTCATAAGATTGAAAAGCTAATAACAAACAGCAATGAGAACTTGCGAAGGAAAAGGTCCGAGAGATGTAACCTGAGGAAATTTTTTGAGATTCTCTGGAAAGCGATATTGGTAATCATATTTATTCATGTTTTGATATAAAGATTTTTGAAAAAAATTTCGAGAATATGGTTTTCACAAATTTTGTTTTGTGTACAATTTTTCTTTCAAAATGTCATACAAAACTACCACCAAAGGGGTGGTATTCTTGGAATTCTCGGGTGTTAGAAAAAAACTTACAATTCTACCAAACAATGATAACTTTCTCGAGTAAGTGACTTTTCCATCATATTCTTAAAAATCATAATTTTCAGACATAAAAAAAATTATCTTGTACCAAAAAGCCCCTTAATCTTCATAAGCCTTCCTTTGTCTATGGGCATGTAGGAACCACGAGACCCGAAGCTAATTGCTTAGGCTTTGTTTGGGAGTTGATTTTAGGAGGGGAAGGAAAGGAAATAGAGGATTTTAGAAAGTCCTTCCCTAATTTGTGAGTTTAAAAAAATAAGGGAAGGAATTGGAGATTTTTACTAAACCTTCCAAAACTCCCCTTCTTCTTAAAATTAAAGTTCCCCCAATTTGGAGGGTTTGAAGGGAAAAATATTAAAAATTACTCATTAAAATGTGAAACTACATAAATGTGAATGATTTTTAAATGTGACATTATTAGAAAATTCTCAAATACCGATAGTGTCGACGGAAAAAAATAGGATAAAATGATAAAAATATCTCATTAACCCTCTATTTCCTCCCTTATCATTTTTTAAGCTCCCAAACAGAAGAATAGAATACCTTTTAATTTTCTTCTTTTCCTTTCCCTCCCTTCCTATTGAATCTCCTTCCTTCCCTTTCCCTCCAAACTTCCAGAGCCTTAGGAACCGCAAGTCCTTGGCCTGGTGAGTGATGAAAAAGTGGGGAACCCCATCCCATACCTGATGTGCAATCAATGGGTGCATAGTCGAATTCAATCATGGAATAGCATAGGGGACCATGTTACGTTTAGACTACCATTGCAATGTCTTGTAGAATGCATGCCAGGGCTGGGGGCAATTAAAAACTGTAAAGTTTGACAACTATTTCCCGTTTAGTTCTTATTTATAAGTGGATGTCATTAATATTTTATTTCTCTTCTCTTTATAATAAGATCCATTCACTTTTATATGAATATAAAAGAAAAAAAAATTCTGCAGTATAAAAATATTTTTTCCATATTTATTTGGTCTCTTTTTTTAATTCCCGAAGTTAGACGACTCCCATTTTAAATTGACACTCCTTTAACTACCAAAAAATAAAAAAATAAAAATTGACACTCCTTTTGGGCTAAGGAATATTTATCCAAAATCGGCTTAGCCAGCGTCTTCCTGACCCAAAATTCAAACTTGCAAAATTTTGGTTACCGACAATTTTACACCAACTCAATTCGGCTATGATAGATTGATACCACGTTAAGTGGGCCAGCAAGAGCCCATAGCATATAATTATCTTCAATGAGTTAAGTTAATCAAAACAAGTGGGTTTGATATTCAATTTTTTTTTTTTACAAACTACACTAAGTATGACCGGTCATATTTCAATTAAGAGTGTATGACCGGTTATACTTAGTGTAATTTGTAAAAAAAGTTTGTAAACGGATCTTTCTCTCGCTTTCAACTCAAAATCTTAATATGTTGGATTAATGAGTTCTTGTAATTATATATACTTCATTTAACTAATTATCAACTAACATGAGATTTCATCTCGCACTTGAAAATCCTAACAAGTCCATATATATATTCAAGGTTAAACATGTTGGGTTTGCTCTTTTATTAAAGCCCAAATGGGTTATTAGTATGAGAAGAGCCCAAGGAACCTAGAGTCCAATGAGCTAGGGTTTCTTGGAACCCATATAAATAGTACCTCTTAAGTCATCAGCCTTAAAGGTCTTTTTTGTGAGAAAGAGACAAGATCAGAATCTAATCAGAGTCTTGGCTGTACATTGGTATGTGTATTTTTGTGTATTTTTTTCATTATTTTGTAAAAGTTCAAGATCGAGAAATCGCGAGGAAGATGCGCAGTCAGCACTGTCGGAGACTTTTCGAGGACTTACCGAT